AATATCCCATTTTATAACGTTTATGATATCCCTCATATTAATGTGCTATTACTATTCTCGAACTCGAATTTCATATGAATACAAATTTTGCAATTTTCATTTATATGCGCACATTTAACAAATGGAAATTGTACATCTTGATTACGGATAGTTATTAGGCACTTTCTATGTGAGTGCGTGTGTCAAATGGTTCATAATTAGGGTATCATTGTCCCGTGTGTAATGGAGCGAGGTAGCTGACAGTGACTGGGAGGAAAGGCAGCCCTTGTAACTGATTGTAACAAATTGTGATCTTTCGTTAACGTTGTGTAACTGTTGATTGAATGTACCTATTGTTTGTTAGTAAGGATGTGGGCTTGGAAATGATTTGACAAATCCACATTAAGCAGTTGCGAGCATTATAATATTGCCGTAAGAAATGTAATTTAAGGTTTGTAAACGGGATCAAACGATTAATATCAAAGCAGTAATGCAACATTTATTTATTTGCGGTAATTAAATTCGCATTTAGAAGTTAGATACATCAAGTTTCCTTTAAAGTTTCCCTTAGGCTACGATGCAGGCCGGTAGCTACAGGGGTGCTACACACGCCACAACAATCATATAACATTTAATCATCATTAAAGTGGAATCAGTGACGCGCCACCGCCGCCGCCGCTGCAGCCGCGTCAGCTGTATTGCGCCCCAAACGGGTTTTTGTTCCATCGTGGATTTTTGACGATGTTTTAAATGTTTTACCATTTTAAAGGCTGGCAAATTTCGTAACTGCGAAAAATAATGATTTAAAGAAATAAAATAGCAACCAAACGTCGTTCTAAGCCGCCGTACCTACTCACGAGTTGTAGGTACTTTTCGGAACAAAATTGTTACTAAGAAATAGTTTAAGTACTTACCTAAATAATCATAAAATGTAGTGGGTAGGTGTAGGTACCTACATATGTTAGTACCTAATAGATAGACAGATATATTTTCATTTTAACACATAGGTAATATTTAGATAAGTGCTCTGATTTATGATCTATTTCAGCTACATAGATAAGTATGTGAAAAAACTATTTTAGTAAATTGGTTGGGTACTGTGAAATTATATTATGTAGGTACAATTTGAATCTATTGTACCCACACCAAATCGGTGTACAAGTATTATTATGCGTTTTATTTGCCATATTTAATAACGCCATGGCTCTATTATTGCGCAAACATGTGACCCTTTTCGGTATTAGAAAAATCATAGATATAATAAAGAATTACATTGTGACGGTCTATTTTATCTGCATGTACAACACAAAGAGATCTACCCAAAAAATACTGGGTGGTCTTTTGTGCCAGCTACCAGTTATGACAAAGCGAAACCCTGTGCCCCTCTGCGCGGTTCTTTGTCTACCACATCGAGATAGGCGCGTAAAATTTGATACGGGAATTATTTTATTAGATCAAACGTACACGTGCGCGGCGTGACGAATGCGATAATGTTCCCGGCCGGAGTCCAACAACGGTACAATTACATTCCACATGAATTAACCATAATAGTAGGATTACGGAAGCTTTGGGCTCGTAGCACCGTGACTTGATGGCCGGAGTCAATTGGTGCTGCGCTGTTCTGCGAATGCGTGCTGCGTAGCTGTTTCCAAGTTTGCAGGCTGGGTATTAGCGAGTGGTTGCATGTGGGCCGAGTGACGTGGCCCGTCGCTCGTCATGATAGCTGCCGTGAGTGTTGACGTCGCGTGCACTGTGTCCCCTCCCGCCTCCTCCTCTATATTAGGTATACGGTTACGCGGATATTGGTTTTGCAAAGAAAAAAAGCTAATTTCAACATTTCTACGACAGTTTTTTAATTATGTCTTCTCATACTGACTAAGTCATTTTTCAGGCGCCTGATTAGGTAATGTAAATGTAATTAAGTAGGTAGGTACTTACTTGCCAAGTATCAATCAAAATTGGAAAATCTATTGTTTTTTTTCTGTTATGGTCTGAACTAAACGATTAACTTATTACTTAACAGGACTAAATTATTTATTACTTAGGTAGGTACCACGTATAAAAAATAATTAGGTAATTGCTGATCCTTTTTAGCATAGGTGGGCCGTGTGCATTTTGCCACAGTCGTGGTATAAAAAAAACCTTGGCTACCTTTTATAAGTACCTGCATACTTACTTACAAGTCCTTACTACGTAGTCTTTAATTTTGTTCTAAAAATGTATACAAACACTTTGAGACAAACACCCGCAAAGCACGCACTTTCCCCTTGCTGTCGCTGAGGTTCATGTTAAGCTAAAAAGCATGGAAGGAAGGCCGGCATGTTGTTTATTGTTCATTCGGACGCAAAGATATGCGCAACCGAGCGGCGGCCAGCCGCGGAACTAATGCATCAATAATGAACTTGCAGTGTAGTCGGTAATAACTTGCCATAAGCGGCAAACCTACCTTTGAAGCTGTAATTACGACCTAACCCTATTTTAGCCTGTCACAGTGAGAACATCTCATTCTATTTTACTAAATTTGGAGTAGGTACCTTAAAATAATCAGTTAAGTATGTATACCTACTTAAACAAATCAAGTTACGTAAAGTAGGTAGTAGGTAGGTACCTTACTACCAACCAAGATTAAGTTAACATACTTAACATTCATTGAATATATTCATTTACCTACGTCAGTTGTTTTTTGCTTTTTTTACTATTAGCATGATAGCATTCAAGTCAATTCAAATAATCTCGATGACTTTACGAGTGTAACAAATTCAGTTAGTTTCACAACTATGGCACGAATTCAACCTAGATATTCGAACAAAGCGTGTTCCCCTCGCAATATTGGAAACGGTACCATCGGCAACGCGTGTCCTTGGCAGGCACAACGAAACGTCAATGAAATTTAATATACCATCTACGATAACCCAGTTATCGTAACGCAAGCTGTATATAAAAAGCGGCAAGTACGCTTGCCGCATCCCTCGGCAGTCACTGTAGTCCGCGGGTAGTACGGAGTGCCCGCCCGCCGCCGTCGCACGTAAGCTCCTTGTGCTACGAACTTTGCTACGCACGCTTTACCCGCCCAGCGCACCACGCACTGCCACTGACTGAACTATTCCCGATATTACTTTACTATTACTCAATATAATCGCACTGTCTTAAAATTTTTACTTGTTTATAATGTTTATAGTAAAACATAATAAGTAGGTAATTAAATTTTTTAGATCTTTGGTTATAAATCTCACTGTATTATTTACTTGTTATTATTGATATCAAAAGCTCCTCGACAACTACAGACACAACAAAACAACGTGTTGATTCATAAATACCTTCTGCCTACAGATCGCCCTCTTTCTATTGCGTAGTAGTCACAAGCCCTAATTAGTAAGTTTCACATGAATAACTTTTATTTATTCTGGTCTATCTGGTACCTAACATGCCAATGGATACACTTCTACGGTCGCTTGACTAGTCATCAATCAAGTAGCAAGTGAAATTAAAAGTCCATCAATAAGTGCGTACCTACTTATGTACTTACGAAGGATAGGTTATGTTTTGTATTTCACGGTTAACGAGCACATGTAGTTAACTATTAAGTTACAACTAGTTTATCTAAAAGTACTTAATCATGTGATAAGATCATAACGTCCAGTATTACTTTGTTACAGCCTTTGACCTCGTTTACATAATAACAATCTGAAAATGGACGAATAAACCTAAAAACCAAAGAACATTATAATGAGTTTGTTCGTTGATTTACGTCAAATTAAATCTTCAGTAACAAATCTATCTGAGATGGTAGACAAGATATCTTCATCTGTCACAAAGGAAAAGAAACAAGAAGAACAACCTAGAAAGGATGACATTTTGTACAGTAGTTCTATGTACAGTAGTTCTATTCACAAACCGACGACTCTAGGCTTCGGAGTCCGTTTTTCCAGTCAAGAAGATGTTTACCAAAGCCTTCCAATGCCTTCGTCTAGACTACGCAGTCACATGTCTCTCCCAAACCTGGGTAAAGCTGAAACTGTGTTCGATAAACCCTCCACTTCACGAAAAGAGGACAGGCCAAAAATTGTTGAACTTGATGAAGAAAAAAATAAAACAACCTTATATTTATCGTCAGAAAATATCAACGACTGGATAATTGCAACTATTAATAAGAGACCTCATTTTGATGACGTGGGAGAAACTCACCCTATGGATTTCTTAGAAAATATACAATATTACATATCCGAATTAAAGATGGCACAGGAAAAACAACTTCCATTCATTATTTCATGTTTAGAAGGAGTTCCTCTCATGTGGGCTCGATGCTTCAGGAGTGAGTTCAAAGATGTGGAAACATTCTATAAGGCTTTCGAACTAGAATTCTGGGGCCCCGACAGGCAAAAAGCAGTATTATACGACATGAAATTAGGAAAATACGACGAGAGTAATCCAAGAGTCAGTATGTCAGAATATTTCTTGCACAAAGTTTCCAACTATCGACATTTAACACCACCCCCATCAGACTTGGAGATCGTTTATTCGCTAGCAGCTCATTTTCCTACAGCCGTAGAACTAGAGTTACGCCTGGCACCCAAACCGACGCTACGCGAGGCGTACCACGTGCTACGGCGTAGAGAAGGCGAAGGTTCTGATTTTCTACCGAACTATTTGTATGAAATGTGTGAAGCCTTTCAGCGTGGTCAAAGACCAGAATCAGCTAGACGTGGTGATGGATCATCATCCTCTTATAACTTAGAACACGAAAAGAAAATTACTAAATAGTGATTGATTTAATGATTTTGCACTAACTTTATACGTACTAACAACTCACTGCCATTGTATAACTTAATGTGACACCTACTTAGGCTATGTATGGTAACCGTTTTTCAAATAAACATTACATTCCAAGAAAATTGTTTTATTTAAATAAGATTTGGTAGAAACTCCATTTCATATGCCGCCTATATGGTGTCTGAAGTCTAAATTATTCAAATCTAGGCACCTACTCCCGCTATGATTGTATTGTTTTGAATTGGATACAGAGCTTTGCATGAGAGCGAAGGCAACTGGACGGAGAATGATTGCTTGGAGGCTCGTCGCGCGGGCTGGCTGTGGGGCGGGCAGGCGCGAGCGTGCCGGCGCCAACCTTCGGCCATGCCGCACGTGGCGGGAGCTGCGCGCCTCGCTCGGGCTGCCTGTCTCTCCGCGCACCAGGGCGAGCGCTGGAACTGCTCATCAATTGAACTTGCTCCCAAATTTACTCCTGACCTCCTCACAGGTTTGTATCTTTGTTTCTGTTATATCGGACTAGCTTTTACACGCGGCTTCGCTCGCGTCACAAAAGGATAAAACGTAGCCTGTGATATATACCAATACACACAGCGCCATCTATACCAATAATTTCGTTTTCTCTCGAGAATATCAATTTTTTCCGGGATAAAAAGTAGCCTATTATTTAATCCAGACTTCTAACTTCACGTCTGCAAAAAATCAAAGCAATCGGTTTAGTAGTTACGGCGTGAAAGTGGAACAAACAAACAAACAAACTCACTTTCCGATTTATAATATTAGTAAGGATTAGTAAGGATAACGAGTAGGTGGATTACCAGTTGGAAACTGCCCTAACGCGCCATTAACTAGTCTAGATAAATGATGTGTAGTGGTAGGTAACTACACATTTTTTTACAATGTTATTTTTTATTCTCATTGTTTTGTAGACAACACAAGAATATGTTTTCCCGTCTTTAGAAAAAGTGGCATCTTCCATCACTAATGTAAGATAAGGGAGACAAGTTTGTCGAGTCTTTTAAATCACCCTGGATGTATTGTGCGAGCGCGGCTGGCGTGACGACAGCGCCCTTTCTTTCAGCAACGGTGCACGGGTACCGTTCCGCTCCGACCATTCTGTTTATTTACATGACACATGAACATATTTATCACTTCTCGGGTAATTAATTTCCAAAATACACCATTGTATAATTATAATTAAAATTTTCTATTGTTAATTAATCCCTCATAGTGATCATCGAGTAGATATTAAAGAGCAATCGTGCCGATGCCGATCGTACAGTCGGCGAAGGAACCTTATTAAATAACGGAAGACGTCACGCAATGTCTTCATAACTCTATGCCAGCACGAACTTTGTAGAACGAGCATCGGCATAGGAGGCTTGTACAATATTTAGATTCCTTTATGACGCGTGGGTTCATGTACATATTAATACAGTGATCGATGATAAAGAGGTAAACCAATAAATCTGTGAGGTTTTTGGTTTGTAAGGTTTGTCCGGAGCTGATTCCATCATAAGATTTTTATATTCTTGTAGATTTTAAATCTACGTATTCAATTTCCTTTTATGTTAGTGGTCATATATAGAGCGCTTGAAGAGACGTTAAAAACAACTTCGTGTCTGAAAGTTAGGAATAGAAAAGAAGACAAACAATGGGGAAGTTTTTCTCTAGTTTTAGCATGGTCGGCGACATTGTATAGTTGGCAGCGAGTGCGGGCCGGATGCCGACGGTCGACTACTGCGAACTGCGAAATACAGAGCAATGTTTTTAGTCACCATTTCGGCGTCCGTCTGCCCACTTTAGGAAATTAATTGACACGGAACGTTGTCGGCTACAAACAAAACCGTTAGGAATCTTTGGAGTGCTCCCGGCTTGATACATTTTAATTAAAAGTTTTACGAAGAGAATAAAGTCTGCGGCCGCTGTGGCAATGAACAAAGAATAACTTTTCATTAAGAGTTGAGGTGTTTACTTACTTAGATAAGCGTCTCTCTAATTTTGCATAATGTCACTCGATTAAAATGCCATGAAAAGTATTCAGTTAGATAATCACTTTATCACTAACATTTTTCAATACAAACATATCTTGCCCTACAAAGGCAGTAAGCATACACACACAATGCACAATTTCGACATTGATGGCACCGTTTATAAAACAAATGACAATCACATTGAAACCCCGGTACTGGATGTAGCCGCGACATTCGTCATCCATGCTCGACGTGACAGGTGGTGCCTATCGCCGGTGTCACGGCATCACAAATATTTGATTTTGTTATGAGCTGGTTGTCGTGACGTTTTGCTCTTTACATGCGAATAATATATCGGTACACACGCGGTGTCTCACGTGATTTCGCAACTATACACCTAAGTCCCGACATCTCATGTAGCATGGAACGCATGATAATCTAATGATCATGAAAAAAACAATCGTCAGGATGACACCTTAATTTAGTCATATATTTAAATATTTTGACTGGTAGTTTTATGTAACGTGCCTCAGGTTAAACTATCAATAAAATAGGAAAAATGTGAGTATACCTATGTCATAAATCGATGGATTATTATTGATAGAAGAGAATTAAATCAATATGAAATTATCATGTATATACATATATGTACCCAAAGAGTTCAAACTATAGAGAAGCAATCTCCATTATCGGGGGTCCAAAAACTTGGAGCCAATTTTGACATACAAAGACGTTAGCTTTGAAACCACTAGATATTTTTTTCAAACGTTTCTCCACATTAGAATTTTTTTCTTGTATCGTGGGTGCGTTTACAAACATACAAGTTCACATACATATGACACTCAGACTCGGAACAACAATCTGTGGATCACACAAAGAGTTGTTCCGTGCGGGAATAGAACCCGCGACACGTTGTGCTGAAGCCAGTTGCCTGGCCACCGTGCCAACAGTCTAAAGAAACTTATGTCTATCTCACTCACTCAAGTCGCAACAACAATAATGACCACTAAGATTGGACAGAGATAGAAATATAAACATTAAATGGTCAGAGAGTGTGTCAGGTTTCCTAACGTAAAATTTTATACCAATAAAACTTATTGTTTCCCATTAAAAAAATATTAGGTGTAAATTATTTTACTTAAGGTCTCTGGAGGACACACAAAAATATGTACCAGCAAAGGACGGCTCTTTGTGGCGTGTCGTCCGTCATATCTAGTACATTACAAAGAACTGCTCAGTGTCGCGTCGCCGTCCCGTCCCGCCGCGCCGCGCCTGCTGCGTGCAGAGACCTTTACTGGTACATATTTTTTTGTACTTACGAAAAGAGTTATTGTAGGTATGTACATATTATATTGTACTTATTTCATATATTTTTTCGTAAATACGACTCGATGAACCGAAACCAGATAACAGGTAATAAACTGAACTAAAATCTATAAATTACAATAAATTTAATAAAAGTAAAATTGGCCTGTTAGTAGGTGAATATTATTTTTAGAAAACTTAAAAAAAATTATTTACAAATCTGGTTGAAACGAATACATACCTACTTATAATGTTGATTACATTTAAGCCTTTAACAGCCGACAAAAATGTTAAAGGCTTATCCTCCGCTAGCGTCGGTCATTATTGTCCGACACGGCACCTAATGTGTATTCATTTCAAATTATGTTAAATAATATTTTATTACTGGTACCACTGGTAAAACTTTTATATTTATTGTGTGCAGAGATAAAAGACGTACCTACCTAATAAATGTTTTAGAGTTTTCTTCTACAAGAAATTATCTGGTTGAAAGTAATTCCCTTGAATTTAATATTCTAGTAATATAATTATCTAGAATTGCAATACTTAAGTATTTAAACATTTTTTGGCGCGCATTGTGCGATGTCGACATCACATAGAACACTGAATTAATAAACGTCTGTGAGACGTCTTTTTTTTTTTTAAAGGGGGAAAATCATCGAATGACTGCTCCCGCCTGGGTGAGGCGGAAGGGAGTGTCAGACTCTTACTGACTAAAAACCACCCCGTTCCTTCTCCTGCACGTCGAGCCGGAGCCCCGGTTACCCGTTAGGTTCTCCGCGACTCCGAATCGGCATCGGCCCTATTGAGCCCCATCTGTGGTGGTCTGATGGCTCTTTGAGGCGCGCGCGGAACGCGACGCGCCGTACGCTCGGGTCTATTTCTGGTCGGACGGGGAGCCACCCATGCTCGCCGTCCGCAGGCCCGCGCTTACGGTGGCCGGAGATCGTCCCGCGATCCCCGACGCCCGGTGTGTCCTTCGCGATGGCTGGGTTGCGAGGAGGCAGCGCTTCGCTGCCTCACGCGTCCCGCCTCCTCCTTAGCTAGCATGACTGCTTCGCAAAAGGAGGAGACGGCATCCCAGTCCCCCTCGCTCCGCATCATGGCCTGCACTAGGCCCGGACGCGAGAGGTCGCCATCGCCGATCACTTCCCTGAGGGTACGGCGGTGCTCAGCCCACGCAGGGCATTCCGCTACGGTGTGTTCCACCGTGTCCTCAGGGCGGTCCTCGCAGTGATGACACCCGGGCGTTTCCTCCCGCCCCATCAGACACAGGTACCTCCCAAAACTTCCATGTCCGGTGCGGACCTGTGTCAGGCGGTAGGTGAGGACGCCGTAGCGTCTCTCAAGCCACTCCTCAAAGAGGGGACTTACCGCTGCAATGGCAGCGAGCCCACTGGGAGGCGTCTGGGGACGGCTTTAGAGACTTTTATTTTTTTATACGATGATTCGACTCTATATGTGTATTTAAATGTACGTACCTTAATATTTTGAATGTTGTTATAGTAAAGTGGACTACCACCAAGGATCAGGTTGTAAGATCAAACTATCGACAAACTAGCAGTTCACAAATTAATGGAAAGTATTTTTCGGAAAAGTGGACAAAGTTAAGAATATAAATCAATCTTACGAATCCTTATTGATGAGATAATGGCTTTTCTTGTGATAACCATGAAAGTTATCTTTAGTCTGTTAAATTAGAAAGACGATTGAAAGCTCGTCTTACAATGCGATCAGTGGTGAGGGTTTAGGGTCGGACAAAAGATTTAATTACACGCATGAATCAAGCGTGCAGGGCGCGGGGTGGTGAGGGTGCTGGTGGGACGGGGAGGGAAGTCATTCAGCGATAACCGTGAGCTGTGCACTCACGCGCGGTCTGCGCTGCCGATGTGCTGTGTGATAAGCCCGTCAGATGCCATTGTTTAACTCAGCTAAGGACGTGCGGGCTTTATCGCACTGATATCGTTTGTAATTAAAAAAGATTCTCTTGATGGAAAGTGCCTATTACCAGCACACTTATATAAAGCTTCAAGTATTAAATAATAGACCAGACTTTGCCTTCTGTATTAATAATATTATGAATAGTTCTATGCTACTGAAATGCTCAGTTAAAGAAGATAAACTAAAATTTAATAGTACCTACCATAATGAATAGGTAAAATATTATCATATAATAGGTTTGTTTGCTATAGGTAAGTATGTAATTGCAAAC